CCCCCCGCCCATGCGTTGTTTCCATTTGGCTGTTCCTGAGTCGCAGCCTTTAAAATAAATCAGTAATAGTAACTAAAACACTCTTCTGGGTTCTTCAAGTTGTTTTAGTGAAGTAACTGAGCCCAAGGGGTGGGGTTTATGGGAAACCCTGAATTTGTAGTCAAGGGGCAGGAATGTGGGTAGCTGGAGCACCCCATTTATGGTTGGTGCCTGAAGTACTAATTCTTCCCCTTTCTTTAAAATTTTTTCTATTTTTCCAGATTTGGCTTTTCTTTCAGATAAGCCTTTCACTTATTCGAGTTATTTTCTGGTCTCCTGATCAACTCATCTCTTCAAGGCCTCTTTCTGTATTTACCCATCTCTCCAGGTGCTCTGAGAAAGTACATACGATTATCAAATACTGGCAAGACCCATCTCACCACACTCCCCTGACAAAGAAACTCATCCTTCTTCAATGGAGAGCTGCTAGAAGATACCCAGCAATTTAGCAATTTTAGGAAGTGTCTCACAGGGTATGTGATTTCTGGTATGTAGCAATTGGTCCATGTCTCATGCGTGTTTAGGATCACATTTTATCTTCTAAAGGTGGAAATGCAAAGACAGACTAGAAAAGTACACATGGGAGAATGAAATATATTCTAGGTGGAGACCAACTACCTGAAGGTCACACTAGTTTTCTTAAATGATTCCCTTCCCCACTCTCTCAAACATAAACAAAATAAACCAGCCAACTTGGATTTAAGTTCCAACCTACACAGAGGGACGATACTGGAAGTGGTTATTTTCTAGAATTCCCAGCTTCCCGGCTGCTACTTATTCCATATACTAATGTTCTTTTGACACCTCATGCCTATGGGGGGAAATGTATATACATACTCAGTTATATACTGAAAAATGGTTATGGTCACAGTAGTTGGTGTATGTATGTACATGATTTATTTTACATAAGTTTTATATTTGTCAAGTGGAATTGAATTTCATATTTGTATTTTTCCCTAAGCTTTTTACCTGTGTGAGCTGTGATATTTGATATAGTGTGGCCTATTAGTTAATGGATTGACTTACACCTTTCATCTTGTCTAGGTGGTGGTTGGCTGTGCTATAGCTTTCACTATGTGCTGCCCAAGAAATCCAATATGATATCAGGGAATGACTTGAACATTAGGGACTACTGTCTCAATAGGTGTGAAACATTAACAATACTTGTGGTTTCCCAAAGTTCAGTTCTCCAAAACAACTTCTCTAAAAGATAAAATGCTTCAATAAAATTAAACGGTGAGACATCTATTTGCAATAATAAAGTAACAAAATTAGTAAAATGACCAAAAGTCTAAACTCTTCTCAAAATCAAAGTCCTAGCACTATAAACACTTTATTGAAGAAGGAAAATTTATAGAAAAATTGGCAACACAGAGAGAAAGCAAAGCTCTTATGCTTGTGTGTTTAGGCTAGGTGAAAATAAATGAAAGGTTTAACAAAAACTACAAGAATATTCATGGGAATTAAAAATGAGTAAAAATGACAATTTAAAAAGCTTTGTAACTATGCTAAACTATTACAACCTACAGCTTGAATACTTTTTAGACCTTAGATTTCAATTTAAAAGTATACATTTCTAGACTGAATTGTAAAAGGGTAAAATATTGGGTAGTTATATTGTTAGACATGGCAAAATCTCAGATATGTAAACTAAGAACTAGATCAATTCTCCTCTAGACTGAAAGCTTCCTGGAGGCAGGGGCCTCATCTTGGTATTTCTGGTGTCTTCCAAAGGATCTCATCTGTAGTAGAAGCCTTGTCATCATAGGTTAACATATATTGAGCTCTTACTATGTGCCAGAGAGGAGGCTAAGTAATTAGCAAGCATTATCTTCCTAAACTTTATAACAACTCTAGAGTTTAATGCTATTTTACACTATCCCTAGTTTCTGGGTAAAGGATTTGAGTAACTTGCTCAAAATGCACAACCAGAAAGTGGCAGAGATTGTCTGCGACTGGAGGCCAAATAATACAAGCTATTGTTACATCACCCCACAGAGAATAGATTGTATTCCCCCATCAGTACCCATTGTTCACGGACCTCGCAGCACCCAAACGGTCTCAGAGCTCTCCAGGGGCATAAAGTGAAGCTTACAGCTCAGTTATTTTAACTTGTGTGAGATATCATGAAGCTTTTATCTGTTATTTTAACACAAAGGTTAATTTAGGTTTTAGGGCGATGTGCTGATAAACCGACAATCTGGAAAAAAAATCTTGACTTGTGCCCTTTTCCGTGATGTAAATACTCTCCCCGTGGCTGGTTCCAGATGGCCAACTCGATGTCACCGACTGCGGTGGGAAGGGCCAAGCGCAGTTAGCTCTCCCAAGCCCGTGACCACCACTGCAGAATTTCTATTCTCCTTCAGACCTCTCTGACTCTCTCCCTCCATGGTTATTCTGCTCTTTTCTTTTCCCCCCATTTTAACATTTTTGTCACACCTGTTCCTTTCAACGTGAAGCACTCAGATCTTTTTGTGAATTAACTTGGGACTTAAGTAATTAAATAAATCATTACTCAAACATGAAGGAAAAGGTATCTCTTACTGGACTTTTAGATGAAACATACATAAAAGCTAGCATACCACCAAAAACTAGAGCGGAACACTCGGCCACCCTTTCACCCGGTTGTTCAATGGAGGAGAAGCAAAGGAAAACCCTGTGTGTCTTTCATGCCTCTCAGAAGTTCGCTCCGATAATCAAAGGAGGCGAGGGACCTAAAGTCACTCTAAGTCCCAACGTGGTCTTTGAATTGAAGATACAGCTCTTATAATGGAGACATAAGATCCAGCCTTAAATTCGATTGATCCATCAAGTAAGATTTTGGACGGGAATGTGATCTGGAGGGAGGGAATACGTAGCCCTACGTTTTAATCCGATGAGGAATGCATTTAAATCGTGCAGCATTATTATTATTATCTTGCCGCCTACCATCCAAAGAACCTTCGGACTTCAGAAAATTGCAGGCATGGGAAGGCACATTTAGACTTATATTTAGCATCAGGCTCACCACAGAGTTTTGATAAAGATCTGTCTACATCTCTTTGGGAGGTTTAGATGGTATATGTTACCAGTGGCTTATTAATGAATGATTTGCAAGACTTGAGATAATCCAAATTTTTGTTTTAGAGTTGAAACATACATTCTTGGCCACTGCAGGAATATTACTTTTTTCTCAGTTAAAAATAAAATAAAATAAAATAAATATGTATATATATGGATGTTTATATATTCTAAAATTAAACATAAAGTAATGTCTTTAGTAACTAAAGAAAAGGGGTAGTGGAAACAAATCAACCCCAACGTTTGTGTGTTCTCCAATACTACTGATGGCAAATCACAATGATATTTTCTCCCCACCAAAACAGACTCTATGTAAAAGTGCACTTCCAAGATTTGTATATGCATTCTTCATACTGGCAAACAGTTGTGAAAATTACCTCAGAGAAATGTTTACACATATTTATATAAATAAGAGACTGAATTTAGATTCAGATTTGGATAGCCAATTAAAAACTAATGAAGAGCCCTAGCAGGTTGCTCAGTGGTTAGAGCGTCAGCCCCTGAACTGAAGGGTCAACCAATCAATGTCCCTCTCTCTCTCCGCCTTCCACTCTCCATGCTCTCCGTAAAAAAACCAAGAAAATTAATGAAGAATATAAGATTGCTCAAAGAGTATGTGAGAATACAGAATACACACATCGTTAAGAAATATACCTATCCCTCCAAATTAGATAATGCTACAGAATAAAGGAAATATTTGTTTATGTTTGGGGAGTTTCCATTTTTTTCCTTTTCTCATTCTCTTAAGGATTTCCTTCTTAGGATCATTCTTAAAGTATACATATTTTTAAAAATTATTAAATTGACAAATATGGGGCAAATCTTGTTGAAAAGCAAATAACTCCTTTGGAAGAAAGAAGACAATTTAGAAAATGCATTAACTTCCCTCCTTCCCCCCATTTATTTTACTTGATGGGTAAGAAGAAGGCATCCTTCTATTGTCTTGCAGCTTGGAAATATTTTTCTTAGGATGACTTAGCTTATAATAAAGACAAAGAATTTCTCCAGTTTATTAATAAAAGTCTTATGAACATAGGGACTATTAACATTCATAAGAATAAAAGTAATTTTTTTAATGGAATTATTTGGAATATTAAGTTTTTATATTAAAAATTAATGAAATAAAATGGACTCATATTATTTCACTTACCATCTTGATAGCCAAAATCTCTGCAGCATGAAGTCTGGCCACTTTGTTTTAAACCTTAAACCCCAAAATATATAGCATGTTTCCTTGATAGTTTCATCTGATTTATACCTCTGTAGTTTGAAAAGTATTTTTCCTCTCCTGTCAGAAAATGGGAGATTTGGGGTCCTTCTAATGAAAGAAAGATTATAATATTAAAGATCAATGCTTAACTATAGCAAAAGGAATAAAATTGTTTTGAATGAATTTGACCTCTTGCTTTTGTAAAGTTTGTTTTTTATGATGTGTGGCTAATATGGTGGTCATGCAGCTAAAGCATTCTCTTCACCTCATTATACAGAAATACAACACTAGTATACTTGAGTTTCCTAGCCATGTCTCACTGCCCTTTGTTATTATACATTATATATTATAACTCAAATGGACTTATATGAGAGCAAACATTAATCAATTAAGTAAGATTATTGCTTTGAAAAGGAAACCTTGAAAAAAAACCCAACACAAAACCCAACCGTTTAGACCACCAAGAAGCACTAATAAATTTAAGAAAATATGAGGTTTCCTCTATGTGACTTCTCTTGAGAAGTTATGCAATAGATTTCTGGAACTTCAAGGTCATATAAAAATTATGGTACTTTTAAAATTATTTTCTGGGTAGAGTTTGTGTTTACATGATTTATATGTCAATTAAACTTGCAATTTACCAAAATAGCAAAATCAAGTTCTTTGACCCTGGTATTTTCATTAGTCACTATCTTACAAGATGATCAGATGCAGAAGTCTAGCAACACTAAAGGACTAAAAAATTATCAATCTAAACATCCATTTTTTACATTAAAAAATCATTCTGTTTTCAAAATATCATTAGTTAAAAATGAACATTTAGAAAACAAACATTTGCTATGCCTTAGTTATCCAACTTAAGTAACTCTTTTTGATGTTTGATATATTACATATTTATACTAATTCTGAATAAAAGCAATTAATATATGCTTCTGAAAATGCATCTTTAATATTAAATTATGTAAAATTTAAAATAGAAAGTTTTGCAGGTCCACATTTTCTGTAATCAAGAAAGTATGATATTATTCCATTAAGATGAAATAAGTGTGGGAACTACATATTACAGGTATCTGAAAATTATGAAGTCTATATTAAAGATAAGAAAGTAATTATAAAACCAGAGAAAGGCCTATGAAGAAAAACTAAAGGGGGGATTGGATTTCTTAAGTGTGAAAAACAAATTTGAGTACCCTTAATTTGCCTTAAACACATGAAGATTTATTTTAAGGAAGACAGTGTCCGGCTGTTCACCTTTTCCATGGAAGTTTTACCAATAGGTATTTTCAGTGCAAAGCAAGCTGTGTTCCCTATAATTCTTAACATAATGGAAAATACACTTTAAATATTTAGAAATAATATAATTTTGGACCAAAACACAGAATTTGGGGGAATTCCTGATATTCAAATTGCATGAGATTGTGTTCTTAGTCAACTAGGGAATAGCCAAATAGTGACAGATCAATTTTCTAAGATGTTCATAATTTAACATATAGCAATTTGGACAAAGCTACTGGCACATTAATGCTTCCTATCTTAATTTGCAGGATCACCACACAGGGACTAGCTTCTGGCTCTGTATCCCAGGGCAAATAAGTGTTCATTAAGGTTCCACTTTCCTCATTGCCAGCACCCTCTCTCTTCAGCACCTACGACATCATTACCATTATCCTCACTTGCTGCACAGCCCCGGCTCTCAGGTCCCAGCACCCACTCAGCCATCGGGGGCAAACTTGGTAAGCCAGCTGCTTCGTGTCTTTGTGCATCGAATTCCTACTCATTCGTGTTCAAGAGCATGGCCTCAGGGGTTTAGATTGCCTAGGGCTGCAGTTTGGCGCCTCTACTTGTTAGCTTTTTGACAGAGGAAGGTTACTTAGCCTCTCTGTGTCTCAGTTTTATCATCTTCAAAATGGGGGACATGTCCTGTCTCATAGGTTGTTGTGAGTGGCTAATGGACAGAGGGTTGAATGGGCCTGGACCTCTGTGGGTGCTCAGCAGACGTTGGCTGTTATTACCACGTGCCATGGCCAGGCTATTGTATTCTAGTTGGAGAAAGAGTCTTTGAACAAGCAAACCTGCAAATCAACACATAGTTAAATTTTGAAGAGGATTATGAAAGAAAAGGACTGGGTGTTATGGAGAAGCAGGTCAGGGGGAGTCTAATGTAGATCAGGGGATCGGGGGGGGGGGCTTCTCTGAAGATGTACATTCAGGGGGCCAGAGAGTGAGAGGGAAGAAAATTCCAAGGGAAGAAAGAACAGCATCTCCCAGAGAGACAGGCTATTGAGTATGATTTTAGGGAAACGAGAAAAGTCAAGGAAGAGTACGAAAGTTCGCACACTCTCCCAGTCTTGCTCTGTCTGTGGCGAGTTCTCTCTGCGGGCACGTGCCCGCAGAGTGGGACAAACGTGGGCTCCGTGATACCAAACTGGGTTGGAACCCTCGCTTTTTGACTTAAAGGTTCTTTGACTTTAGGGAGATAATTTAGCACCTTTGAGCTTCAAGGTTGTTGTTTTTTCTATTGTAAGTGAATTAGAACTTTTACTTTATAAAGTTTCTTCTTAAGTAAAAAATGGACAAAATAAAAATTTTAAGTTACTAGCACTCGGCTGGCAGTATTAGCTGTTCATTTCGCAGCTCTTTTCTTCCTCATGGCGGAGGCCGGGGATGGGTTTGTAGTTCACGTACATGGCAGCGGACAGTGGCAGTGCCGCCCTTAAATGTCAGGCCGAATGGAGAGTTTAAGGTTATATTCAGGGATCAATAATCATGTATTCATTTATTTATTCTGTCTATAGCCCCAAACCAAAATGCCACCTTCCAAATGTGTAAGGTCAGCTATAAAAGAAATGATAATTCAATTTTTCCTCCTAAGCACTTGAAATTTTTTCATCGTATAGGAAAAACTGTATTTTTTCTTCATTTTGATGGTATGAAGTGGAAAACTAGCATTGGATATAGTATTTTATTTTTTCCTCATCTGATGGCATGTGTGGCAAAGTGGCTTTAGGAGTGACAGTCTTGGTGGGGCCATTGCTGATGGCACTGAGTCTCCTTAGGTGGGACATTCGCAGTAAAGCTGCTTGTTTCACTGTACATTTTTAATATTTGAAATCAAAGGAACCAATTTACAAAGGCCTTTTTAGATATGAAATCTAAATTTACATAGATGTATTTAATTATGTAAATAAACAAAGATATTTATGTTTATGAATATAAAAATATACAAACACAAATACATTAGCAAAAACTACATAAA